CTTTGGGTGTAAAAGCAAAGTGTGGGTGTAAAAGGAGAGTCAAGACTGACTATGTGGTTTGTGAATCCTTGTGCAACTGAAAATGCAAGTTCTTTTTTCAATAATTATTAAGAATGTCAAGACAGTGACAGCAAAGCCAAACAAAACACGGGGCCTTTTGGTATTCAGGACCCTGTGCCACTGCACACATTGCACATGCATAAAGCCAACCTGGTGGGGGTGCATTAGGGAATCTGGTATGGAGAGTGATGTGGGGCTTCACTTGGCCAATGGACACCAGACCATTGCTACTAACCAAAGCCAGAAATGACTGTACTTAGATTTGGTGGCAGTAAAGAGCAGACTGTGTATTTTTCAAAGGAGAAGCAGACCAAGGTATCAAGCTATTGCACTTAGATTTGGTGGCAGTAAAGAGCAGACTGTGTATTTTGCAAAGGAGAAGCAGACCAAGGTAGGAAAGGTGATCAGCAGACCATCACACAGCTTCTTAGTGTCAGATGGGGACTAAATCTCGGGCCTTCTAACTGCCATGCCTTTGCTAGCCCTCAGTAAAGCTAAGTAACAATGAAATTGTTCTCCGTCATTGTGGGTTAAATTGCAACTTGGGAATAAGAGTGAAATGCAGGAAGGAAAATAAGATAAATGATAATTGAATGGAGAAAACAAAACAGCTTAGAAAGCCAAAGCAGTTTGTCGGAGTCCAATCTGATATACAACATACAGTAAAGCAGACAAATGTCTGGGCAGCAAAACAAAACTACACAAAGAAGATATTTTCAAATAACATACACATATTTCCAACCAGCCTTAAGCTCATATGATAAGGGACAGATTGTCCAGAGTAAATAGAGAGAGAAAAGAAAGATGCTCTGGGCTGAATTTAGTCCCCTGTCAAAATCACAGAGAAACTAATTGCTTCTTCTCCTGCTTGTCATCACTCCAGTGGCCAGGCCTGAGGGGCAGTGAAGGGAGACAGCATAGTTCATATATTTGTGTGTTCATTCATCCATCCATCCAACATTTCTTGAGCACCTCTATTAGCATTGTTCTGTGCTAGATCCTAAAAAGAATGTTTAAAACATGGCCCCTACATTTAAGGAGAGTAGACAGATATGTATCAGGGGAGAAAACAAATCACAATAAATAGAATACTAGTGATGCATGCTGTGCTCAAAAGAAGGACTGGACCGGCTACATAGTTTGTGAAGGCTATTCACACTGCTTACATCTCTCAGTTGATAACCTGCCTACAGGTTCTTATTTGCTTCCAAACAGTGGTCAGTATTTATTCATCAATACTGTGCTTCTCTTTCTTAAAGACTCCAGGGGAGGGGGTATAGCTGGTGAGTCGGGATGTGGTGTTCTTATAGACTGTGTCCATTTACCCTTGGTTAGGCATGTCTATGAACTAGTTCTTTGCATGATCCTCTAGGGGGAAAACCTGGTTTGAAGATGGTTCGGGTTCAGACCTGGTGAGGATCTGTGCCTACTGGCACTTTCTCCTCCCCATCTGCTGCCCTAGGCATGTGGGTAAGAAAACAGTTCTGCTCAGGACAGGGAGAGGGCCAGCTGTGTGATCATTGGGGTGTTACTCAGTGTCCATCTAAAAAATGTCAGGATAGGAGGAGGTCTCATAAACAAGTGCTTTCTAATCCAAATAAGTAACACCTCCATTCTCTCTTAGTGACAGCAGGATTGAAGTAGAAGAGGAAGTGAAATATGTTGCAAAGGCTGTCACAGAAAAGAGAGAAGGTACAAGACAACAAGAGAAATAATCTTGAGGTACCTATGTAATAATTTCCCAAGATTTTCTGCTCCTTACCTGTTGAGCATGTCACTCACCAAGAGAAGTATACATAGTCTCTGAAATGACTGGAAATAATAGACAGAAGGTGAGTCCCATGTGTTAGCATTGGTCTCATCAGAACAGTGTTGCACATTCATGCTAATACTTAACATTTATAAAGCTCATAGCACATCCAGTATCTCATTTACTCCCTCAGCAGCCCGGGAAGGTAGGTGGAGTCTGTACTATAATTCCCACCGCACAGAAGAAGCAACTGAGGTTTGGAAAAGACTAAGCTACTAGCTGCAGATCCCAGTGAGTGGCAGACGAGGGCCTAGGGCCAGGTTTTCTGTGTGACATTCATTCTACCACTGGTCCTCTCCTAGGTGCATTGTTCCTTGTTCCAGTTATTGCTGGGTACAGTATGACAGGAGCACAGCATGAGCGGGGAGAAGCATTCAGGAGCCACTGGAGATGTAGCGATAATGAGAGAGCTGCTATGTGGACATGTGATGTCTTTTCACAGAGCCTCTTGCCCTTTAAAATAACACACTTCAAACAGCAATGCACCCGTCGGTCCCACTCTTAAGAGACCAGGCTGGGATCCAGCATCTCTCAGCTCTCCCCCCACTTTTTTGCCCCCATTCTGAGCATAAAGACACTTGGAGCTGAGTGGGAACAGTATTTGTCTCGCAATTACTTCTAATTGCACTGTAGTTTTGTGGTGCATAAGTGGAGTGACCTAGATACCAGTTATGTGAAACTCTCTTTTCATGCTTGGGTCTGTATTAAGGAGGAGGTATATTAGGGAACAGTGGCTCAATGCATCTCCCAGTTAACATTTATATGTAACTCCACATCTCCACTTGTCAAATGGCCAGGTCTCCTTAACAGGCCGGATCTAAGGCTGCCTCTTTCTCTGTAAGGCCTCTCTGGATTACTCCATTCTTTAGATTCCCACAGCAATTTTCTGATCCTATCTTTGGTGCTCATCATTTTCCTTTTTTAAAATTGACTTTAGAGAGGGAGGAAGGGGGAGAGAGAAAGAAACATCGATGTGAAAGTCATACATTGATTGTTTGCCTCTGTATGTGCCCCAACTGGTGATGGATCCTGCAACCTAGGTAGGCTCACTGACCAGAAATCAAACTGGAGACCTTCAGGTACAAGGGTGATGCTCAATGAACTGAACCACTCCGGCCAGGGTTGGCACTCATCATTTTCTACATTTTTCATCTTCCTGAATTCCTCATGCCAGCAGCAGTGTCTAATTCAGCCGTGGGCAAACTACAGCCCGCGGGCTGGATCCGGCCTGTTTGAAATGAATAAAACTAAAAAAAAAAAAAAAAGACCATATGCTTTTATGTAATGATGTTTACTTTGAATTTATATTAGTTCACACAAACACTCCATCCATGCTTTTGTTCCGGCCCTCCGGTCCAGTTTAAGAACCCATTGTGGCCCTCGAGTCAAAAAGTTTGCCCACCCCTGGTAATTCATTTTTCTCTTTTTGTCTACTCTGAGAACTGAGAATAGTTAAGGTAGTTGCTCAATTAAGTACTGCGAAATGAAAGCATAAACTGATTATATTCTAGACATTGTGGAGGTGTGCAAATAGACCATTTATTCTCTGGAACCTCTTCTAGGTGGCCCGACGTAATTTACCAGTTCAACCTTATTTCCTGTGGAATATCTTCATGACCGACCTCAGTGTGCCTGGAACTGTGCATATCATTTTTTTGAGAGGTGAGTGTCAGATTTTTTTAAAGAGGAAAATAACAACCTTGAATCCAACCAGAATAGTTCCCTGGTATACACCAGTTTCTTCAGTCATCACACAAATACAATCTGACTGGCCAGAGTCTGCTGAATAGAATAGAGAATTTGGGATGAAACATTTAAAAATTCACTCATAAATATCCAACACTTTATATTTTGTCTTCTTTTTTTTCCAAAAATCAGTCCTCTACCAGAGACTATGTCTTATTCATTTTGTTAAATCCTTATCAATTTTGAAAACTGAGAATGGTCCAGATAGTTGCTCACTTGAATGAAAGCACCAAATTATTATGTTCTAGACATTGTGGAGGTAGTAAAAGACAGGTGGTTGCATTTTCTTTTTAAAAAATATATATTTTATTGATTTCAGAGAGAAAGGGAGAGGGAGAGAGAGATAGAAACATCAATGATGAGAGAGAATCATTGATCGGCTGCCTCCTGCACACCCCCCACTGGGGATGGAGCCCACAACCCAGCCATGTGCCCTTGACCGGAATTGAACCTGGGACCCTTCAGTCCCCAGGCCGACGCTCTACCCACTAAGCCAAACCAGCTAGGGCAGTAGATGAATTTTCACAGTTTATACTGACTCTCTATACAGAAAACTCTTATTTGGGTTTTGAAATCAATTCATTAAGATTCAATTACATTTTCTAGCAATTGTTGCTATGCCAAGTGTTATTCTAGGTTCATTCTCAAATGCTTCCTTTCAAATTCAACATACCTAAAAGAGTAATGATACCCCCCCAATTTACAGATGATCAAAAATATCAGCTCAGAATGGTCAAAATATGACTTGCCATAGGGTGCAAGGCCATTAAATGGCAGATTGGGATTCATTAAATAGATATTAATTAATTATCATTAATTCAATATGTATTTATTTGGTACCTACTACATGTTAATCTTTATGGGAGAATATGATGTAGTCATTAACTTCAAGGGGCTCAAAGTATAGTGAGAGAGACATACACTTAAATGGAAAACAATAGCATGTGGCAAGTACTCTAATAGGATTACTGCCCAGAGATCCCAAGTATATGTGTAGTGTTTCTGTTTGTGTCAGAGATATACCACTCTACATGTCCTCTATACCTGATACAAAAGTGGTGATAATGCTCAAAATCACAAATATCCCATAAGTCAAATCATCATCAAAGAATTTTAATAGTAGGATTGTAAGCTTCAGACTTAAACTTTCTTACAGTTAACTGGGGGCATATACATCCCATGGGGGAATGGACAGAAGGCTACTCCTGCTCACTCCATCAAAACATTTTAATGAAAGAGGAAGTTGGCAGAAAAACCCAGGACTTCTTGAAGGAGAGGACAGGAGAGAGAGGTGTGTCACTGTAGAACGAGAAAAGCCCCACCCACAAGCCCAGTTCCTTGTCTGACAGATTGAGTTCCACCCTGTAAACATCCTCAGTCCTTTCATTGACCATTTGTGACTGAGCACTTCACACTCAGCCCACTCGGTGAGGTGAGATTCACTCTGAGTGGGTGACAGCGCCAGGGCACCCTCCTCTTTGGCTTCATCTGTGCCAACCACACGTCTACCAGCCACTGCCTGTTGTCAGAGTCCCTTCATCCAAGAAGAGAAAGAAGAGTCTTGAGGACCAGCCACAACCTAGTCAGGTAAGGCCAGATGGCTTGTCACCAGTTCTGCAAAGAGATCAGGTTTCTCTCTATAAACTGATTGCTCCTGTCTCTTAGCCTGTATTTCTTGTCACCTCTGCCATTGCCTTGCAGTTCCAAGTAGGCCTAAAGTTTTCCATGACCATATGACTGTCCACTCTTCCGCACTGCCCACGGTTGATGAGATTTGTAGACCAGCATGTCTAAGCCTATTCAATCACTTGGCACACTTATCTATGAGATGATTTTTAATCTTAAAAGCAGTGCAATCGGTATAATTTTCTCTATTCAGTCGCTTACTGAACTGAGGCTTGGTGAATTAGAGTGGGGTTTTTTTTAAGTTTGATTAGCAGTCTAAGGCCAAGATTAGGTTTAATTCCTCCTTCTCTCTCTACTATACCACTCAGCAGATCATACCTTATCTCAAAAAGCCAAAAGAAGGGAAAGGGGCTTCCTGAACTGTCAAATGACAAACAAAAGGTATTATTTCCTTGCAGCCAGGTTGGAAGGGATATTTTTGAATTCATCTGAGATTTTATAATGATATATAAGCTCCATCAACTAGGGCTATTTTTAAAGAACACATGAGAATATGTATGTAAAGGGGCCCTGTAAGCTGAAAAGTGATATGCAAATTCAGGAAGATGACTCCATGGAGCCTGAAACATGCTCCAGCTCTCTGTGTAAGATGGCTTTCATTTGGGCTGAATGACACTCTCCTAATGTCAGCAGCTGCATTATGAGGCATAGATCACAAAGGCCCTGAGGAAATATTTAGCTTTTCAGTCTTACTGTGATATGTGGAAAAGCAAATCTCAACAGGAGGGAACAAAACACCCCCTGAATCTCTTCAAATTGACTCCGGCAATTTCCCCTCTTATGACAGCTATCATTATATAGTATTGTTCTACTATATAACAAGAAAATCTCATCTTCAGTGATTATGTAGTTTATTTTTTAAGGTACTAATTTTAGCAATCATTTTTTCCTTCATTCTCAAAAGGTTGTATCATTCTTAATTGTGGAAGGAAATGTTTCGTGTGTTTGTGTGTGTGTGTGTGTGTGTGTATTTGAGTTTGTTATGACAGTGCTAATATTCATCCCGTGGGTTGAAATGCTATACAATCTTTGGCAGACTTCTGGATATTCTTAGTGTCTGTCTAGCTCTAATGAACTTACAGGAATCACATACTCAATTACCTAATTCAAAATAGAGAAAGTGAAGCCCAGAAAGATGACATAATGTGAACAAGGCCACCAGCCGGTGATCATTAGATCTGTAGGTCAAATGCAAGTCTCTGATTCCTTTACTGCTTATGGCATGGAGCAAATGGTGCAGGCATCCTTGGACAGAAGCATTAGCTGTGTCATTTTAAGGATTGTACTGACTATCCCTTAAGAGTCCTTTCAATTAAAAGTTTTGGGGCACTTTGACCTTTTCTTGGCATCTAGTGGAAATAGATGAAAAGGGGCGTTATTCACAAAAGCATCTTTCCTTATTATCTTGGTTCTTGTGGAATATTTGTTTCAGGCAAATTTTGGAACTTCTCCTTAGATGTAATGTTGGGAGATGAACAAGCAGTGGTGATGTCTTCATTTTATTCAACCAATCTAGATCTTTCCTTGAATCTTCTAGGATCTTTCTAAGGAAGTTTCACTCATTTTAGAACTTGTAATGCTAGTTGGTCTTTTATTCAGAGTTGTAGAATCTAATGGCATGGTTGAACTTGAGAGTTTCTTTAATCCAGGGTCTGCAGACCAGCAGCCATAGGTGAATCCAGCATACAGATGTGTGTATGTGTTTTTTTTGTTTTTATTTTTGTTTTGTGTGTGTGTGTTTGTTTTTTTGTTTTGTTTTGTTTTGTCCTGCAGTGGTAAACAAAACTGAGGTAGTTGCAAATATTTAACATTCAGGATAAAGATCAGTTATTTCATTTTTTTTCAGGAAAATGAGATCTAGTAATAATGGATCCATATTCCCACATAGAAAACAAACACTAGGTCTGGGCAGCATATATTTCCTCTAGATGGAGCATGTATTCTCAAATTTTTCACAGTCCCTGTAGGATTTGAGTTTGTCAATACTGATCACTTTCAATCTCATACATGTTCAAACCATTCCCTTTCAAGGGAAATCTAGGTCTATATAATGCTAGGCCATGCCACAGATCAATGGTACCAGGAAGTAGATGAAATTAATTCTTTGGCCTTAACCTCTCATTATTTAAGAGGCAGGAGGAGAAATGACTTCAGCAGGATATAGGGATAAAGAGCAATGACCCTTCTCCAAAGGGGCTTATTAGTATTGAAAATATGTACACAGGGAAAAATATGATAAATAATGCATGAAGTTAAAAGCAAATATTGTTGGTTTTACTGATTAGAGATATATTCATGGCAATTAGGTAGGTTGCCATCAGGGATGGTTGTAAGGAGGAAAGGATGTTTGACCTGGGCTTTGAACAGGTAGAGGTGAAATGAGTTTACAGCAAAAGAAGAATTTAAGCAAATGCATAAGACAGTACTTGCAGTATAGAATGAATTCTCAAGCTGTTTATGGGGCTAGTGGGACTGAAGGGAGGATGAGGCTGGGAATTTGGGTCTGCAGCAGATCCTGGGTATTGAGTGACAGGCTGAGTTTCAGATCAGGCACAGCGTTGCGAACTTGAGGAGCATTACAACTATTCACTGAACATTTGTCCAAGCTCATGACCATCCAAGTCTACAACTTGGTAGTGACAGAAAATCTTTTAGATATCACTTATCTCTCTGCTTTAAGTTTTTCAGAAGAATTAAGAGAGAAGAAAACACTTCTAAACACAGAGGACAGTATCAGATGCTTAGTGAGGGAGATAAGGTGGTAATATACAATGGAATTAAAAAGATGGATGAGCCCTAGCCAGTTTGGCTCAGTGGACTGAGCATTGGCCTGCAGACTGAAGGGTTGTGGATTTGATTCCAGTTAAGGGCACGTACCTTGTACTTCAGTTGCAAGCTCCACCCTGGCCAGGGTCCTGGTTGGGGATCCTGCAGGAGGCAACCAATTGATATGAGAAAAACACATCAATATTCTCTCTGTCTTTTCCTCTCTTTTCTACTCTCTAAAAATCAATGGAAAAATATCCTCCACTGAGGATTAAAAAAAGAATAAAAAAGAAAGATTGATGAAAATATTTTTTAAATACATTAGCAAATGTAAGAAATATTTGGATAAAAATATGGCAATATTTTTAAAAATAAAGTCTATTCCTTTGGTTACAAAAGTGATGTTACATAAATTCTAACTTGTGGGATATAGAGCGTTATGTTTAATTGATAAGCTTTGTCCTTTTTCCTGGGAATCAGTCATCCTTGTATAGGTATAGAAGGTCCTTGAATGTCCTGGCCCTAGACTCTTCCATAATAAACACAGCTGGAGCATTCCACAAGTAATGCCCCACTGTAGCTTACAGAATTTTTCATGGGTTGAACAGAAAGTTCTAGTCTTGTTAAAGGCTGTATCAGTCCACCAAAAATGTTTCACACATACCCCAAGATGTTTGTGTAATTAACCAAACTTCTCTCATTTGCACATGGTTGTGTGTGAGATTGGTTCAGAATTATACATATGTCTCAAAGGCCTTTGCTTCAAGGGATGTAGGTAGGTGATGTGCCTTAGAGTAAAATGAGGTATGTGGACAAGATTCATTCATTTAAAACTATTTCACATCTATTCAATACAAATATCTTTTCAAAAATTATTCATTCAAATTGTTTATTAAATATGTGTTCTAAGGTTTGGAAAAACAACATCAGTGAACAAAAAGAAATAATTTTTGCCTTCAAGCAGTTTACATTTCTAATGAGACAGATGGAAAATAAACAAAACTAGCCAGTAAAATCTTATATAATTAAAGGGTAATATGCAAATTGACCAAACGGTGGAATGACCAGAATGCCCGTGGCCCCTCACCTGGCTGGCCTCAACCCCCACCGGGCACCACCACCCCGATCGGGGGCGGGGCTGGCCAGCAAAGCACTCGCGGCCCCTCATCCCGGCCAACCCTGCCCCTGATCAGCCCCCCGCCCCAGCCATCCTGCTCCCAATGGCCCCCATCAGGGGCAGGCAGGCTGGACCCCACCAGTGCATGAATTGGTGCACTGGGCCTCTAGTATATAATATATGAGATATAGAAAGAAATAGAACAGAAAAGGGAATAGGAAGTCTTAAAGAGTTGAGATTTTACAGAGGGTGCTTAGGGAGGAATGAATTGTTATCTGAGTAAAGAGCCTAATGATACAAGGAAGTGAGCCAGGTAAATACCTGGAAAAAAGCATCCCAGGAGGGTTGCAACAGCTAGTGCAAAGGTCCTGAGACTAGGAGCATGGCTTCTTGGCACCTTTAAGGAATAAGGTATAGATTGAATTGAGTGGAAAACTCTTTGGAAATAAAGTTAGAATAAATGATGGTGGAGAGGGATGGGGGAAGCCATAATGGATTCTGAAAGACATAGTAAGAACTTTGACTTTCTTTTTTTATTGTTTAAGGTATTACAAATGGTAGTACATATGTCACTCTGAATAAAATAGGAGCCATTTTAAAATGACATAGTCTGACTTACATTTCAAAGGGATCCCTCTATTTGTGTGTTAAGAATAGATGAGGGTGGGGTGGGGAGAGAGCAGGCAGAAGCAGGAAGTTCATTAGGGAGTTATTGCTATAGAACAGATGAGTGATGTGGAAGCTTGGACAAGCAGGTAGTGGTGGAAGTGATGACAAGTGATTGGATCTTGTGATTGACTAATTGTATGGGGAAGACAGCTAAGGATGGCTCCAAGATTTTTTGCTGAGTGACCAGTAGAAAAGGGTGGCATTTATCCGAGATAGAGAAGACTATGAGAGGAAAGGTTTTATGGGGACAGCAGGAGCTTACTTTTGCATAGGGTAAATTGGAGATGTCAAGTAGTGAGCTAATATATGAATCCGGGATCCAGTGAGGGTTTATGAGCTGAAGATAAAA